TTTGTAATTTGATTTTTTTTTTAGTTGTTTTCACCTCTGAAGCTACAAAGGCAGTGTTTGGTGAGCCCTGGGTGGCATAGTGGTTGTGCTTTGGGCTGCTAAATTTAAGGTCAGCAGTTCAAGCCTCCAACTGCAACTTGGGAGAAAGAGGGGGCTGTTTGCTCCCCTAAAGAGTTACAGATTTGGAAACGGGCAGTTCTATCATGTCCTCCAGGGCGCTGTGAGTCAGAATTGACTTGATAGCAGTGAGGGTTGTTGTTTCTATTGTGTGTGTACGTGTGCTTAAGTATGTGTGTATGTATGTGTGTGTTTGTGTGTGTGTGCATGCATTGGAAGGGGAGAATGAGCCCTTGTTGTTATGTGCCATTCGGTCCACTGGGACCCACAGCCACCCTGTGCACAATAGAACAAAACACCGATGAGTCCTGCACCGTCCTCACAATTGTTCCTAAGTTTGAGCCCATTGATAACGCTATAGTGTCAATCCTTCCTCTTTTTCGCTGTCCCTCCACTTTACCAACTATGATGTCCTTCTCCAGGGTTGTGTTGCTCCTGACAACATGTCCAAGGTATAAAAGATGAAGTCTTGGCATCCATCTGGAACAGTGTTTGTCAACCTTCCTCATGCTGCGACCCATTAGTACAGTTCCTCATGTTGTGGTGACCTCCCCCCCAACAGCCATAAAATTATTTTCATTACTACTTCAAAACTGTAATTTTGCTACTGTTATGAATCAGGCAACCCCTGGAAAAGGGTAGTTTGGTCCCGAAAGGGGTCTCGAACTACAGGTTGAGAACTGCTGATGTAGAAGAAGGTGCGTTTGGGAGCAGACACCCATCTATAGCTTCTCACTGGACTCCTTGGGTAGAAATGTGATTGTCAAACAGTATGGCGAGCCCAAGGGAGACACGTGGTTCTTCTTCACGAGAAAGGGAGGAGTCCCTCAGGAAACATGATCTTTATGGGTGGGCAGTCCCTGGTGCATGAAGGAGGCTGAGCTGGGCAGAGCGCACGTGATGATGGGTCCCCATTGGCTAGGGAGGGTGCTGCAAAATGAGTGTGGGGGCGACAGCTCTGCTCTTGCAGGATCAAGTTGGCCAAGGAAGGAGATAGTGTTTCCTTCAGAACAACAGGCAGAGGGAGCGGGGTCCTGTCCAGGTGTCCCAGCGTGGGATGTCCTTGTTGAAAAAGAGAAGGTGCAGAGAAGACAGGGACATCTCAGTGATGCCCAGACTTCCAAAGGTTGTCTTTAACTAGAGAATCTCCCCTTGTAGAGAGACGGCTGCTTTGTGCTCTACTTATCAACGATGAGGAAATGGCCTTGAATGTTCCACAGGGCATTCACAAGACCGAATTCTGGGCTTAATGGGGGCATCTTGACATTTGGTGACCTTCATAAGAGCCTCTGAGCCCTGTGGCCTCATTTGCTAATCCGCTCAAAATCAGAAGAGCTTAATCTCCCATTTAAAAACAAAACAAAACATGGCAGATGGAAATGTTCTCAGGCCTTTCCCTCTAGACAAAATTAAAAAGTCATCATGCTGGATATTAGATGCCCAGGAAATGTCTTGTCTTAGGATCCAGTATAATCTATCTTCATATGTCTGCAGCCATCAGCTAGTCAGCGTGGCTGTGCCCACATTTCTAATGAGGAAGCTGCTATTGCAAGAGATTACGTGAATTGTCCAAGAAGGCAAATGATGGAGCTGTTTGGATAGCTGTTTCCCCAGCAACAGACACTTGGTTGTTGCTCCGACCTTCAGAGTCTTTGTTCTATCCATCTTCCACCAGGTACTTGGACTGCTTTGTAGATCAGCAGGGCCCTGTCACTGATGGAAGAAAGGTGGAGTACAGCAAATGAAACAGAATGATCTTGGTATCTAAGGATCACTTCTATTTAAAAACTATAGCCGCTCAAATGCTGTAGGTCTTCCTAGCATCAGGGCGACATGTTTCTGTTGTGAGGTGCCATCAAGACAGTACAGACTCTTAGTCACCCTCTGTCCAGCAGATGATTGGTCCAGCCCCATCTTCACAATTGCTTCTAGGATTCAGCAAATTGGTGTCGCCATTGGTGCACCCCAGCTCATTGAGGGTCTTCCTCCTTTTTTAAAATTTAACCCTCTACTTAGCCAGGAAGACCCTCCATGAGATGATGCAGCACATTGGCTGAAACATGACCATCCTTATGAGGATGGTGCAGGACTCGGCAGTCTTTCCTGCCGCTAATCGTAGAGCCACTGAGTCATGACAGTAAGGAACGAACATAACATCAGCAATACTTTACCAAGCATGATGTCCCTCCTCAAGGACTGGTTCCTCCTGGTGACAGGTCCAAAGTGCATGAGCTGAAGGCTCACTGTTCTGCCGACCAGGGGCAGAGAGATGTGCTCATTCCTCTGGCAGTTCACGCATATTTGATGTTCTTCACCAACACTATCTTTAAAGGCATCCCTTCTTCTCCGTCTTCCTGATTCCTTACCCACCCTTCTCATACATACGAGGCAATAGGAAAAAAGCAAAACAAAAACAAAAACATGGCTTGACTGAGACACACCCTTGTCTAATTAATAGGTCATCATTGCTCTCAAACAATTTTTCAGGGGGATTTTATTTTGTTTTAGTTGTTTTTGCCTCTGCAGCTACAAAAGCAGTGTTTGGCAAGACCTGGTGGCATAGTGGTTGTGCTTTGGGCTCCTAACTATAAGGTCAGCAGTTCAAAGCCACCAACTGCTACTCGGGAGAAAGAGGGGACTGTTTGGTTCCCTAAGGGCTTACAATTTTGGAAACATGAAGGTGCTATGAGCCAAAATTGACTTGATGGCAGTGAGGGTTGTTATTGTTGCTGGTGTGTGTGTGTGTGTGTGTGTGTGTGTGCGCACGCATGCATTGGAAGGCAAAAATGATCCCTTCTGTCTCTCAGAGATGCTTCAAGTCATCTGGAGACAGGGCATAAACCACTTGGTTGGTTTCTCTTTGTTGACTAGATGAATGTTTCTTGGCTCTCTGTTCTCTCACTCTCAAACTCAGCTCCTCGGAATCGATTCCGACTCATCGTGACCCTGTAGGATAAAGTAGAACTACCACTGCGGGTTACTGAGGCGGGACTTCTTCACAGCCCGAGATAAGCTTGGCAACCTGCTGACCGAGTGGTTAGCAGCCCCACTCCAAAGCACTGCCCACCGAGATGCCGAGAGTGTAGTACTTGATTGTCAGAGGGTGTCTCCATTTGCTGGGGGATGGGTGGGTTTCCTTAATGTGCCTTTTGAGACTTCATTTTCTTGGCGGTTCAGCGGGAAGCCATGAGGATGAACTCCTATCACGCAGTGCCGCACCACATAGCACATGCCAAGGCCCTTGCTTTTCCTTTGAATCTTGGCCTCTTCGTGTGGAAAGAAATTCGCCTTCGGGGTTTGCTGTGAAGATTATGATACACAGTGGGGAAGCATGTTGCCATGATTATAAGCAATCACAATAGGTGCATCTGAGTACTGCTTACAGTGGAATATTAATATGCTGTCTAGCTGCACCGTGTACATGTTGCCTCCTTTACAGGTGTCCGCCCATGTCTCCCACGGTAAATAAACCTGTTCGGCAGATGCACAATGACTCTTCCCATCATTGGATGGGCTTTGTTTCTCTGAAATTCCGCTCAACTTGAAATAAGTTGAGTGGATGTAGAGTAGAATGAATGTGTCAAAGGGCATGAGGCCAAGCAAACACTTCCCAATAACTTCCCACTGGTGTCAGGAAGACGTAGCAATTGTTTATAGAACTAGAAGGTAGCAGAAAGGAAGGAAGGAATAAAAAGAAAAACGGATGGGCAGAGAGGAAGAAAATGAGGACAAGGAAGATAGGAAAGGAGGCGGGGGGGGCAGGAAGGAGAGGAAATGAAACCTGGGGTTACTCTGTGGTTCTTTGGTGTAGAGCTATATGGTGCTCCAGCTACTCAACCATGGACCGAGATCACCACCAGAACGCAGCCTTTCCCATAGGACAAGGTGCCCAGTTGTCAGGCCCAGAACTTCATGTTGTTCTTATCCATAGGGCTTGGCTCTGACTCTTCATGTTGACCAAGAAATAGGTCTGTGAAGCCGTCCTTAGCCAGCTGCCAACCAGACTGCTCCAGAGGACCAAGGATGAGCCAAGATCACAGGGGCTTGTGGGAGGGATTGAACAAAGTTCTTTGAGGGATGCCAGCCATGTTTATGAACGGAAATCATAGGGTGGAGTCTCACTCATCTGAACTTTTACTCTCTGGTCATGGAATGCATGCAGGTCAGTTCCTTCCCTTGAACTAGACACACACCACACGGCACTCATGGGCTCCTCTGATGCTTGTCTTGCAGAGAGCTCCAGCCTGCACTCCGCCTGCGTCCATGAGGGCACGGTGCAGAGCCGGGTCCTGCAGATCTTGTACAGGAACGAAGAAGTGCCCATCAATGATGTCGTGATCTTCCGAGCGCACTTGCTGCTGGATGGTGAAAGGGTAAGGTCAGAGCTGCTGCCACCTCGCTTGCGCCTTTTGCATGCCTCGCTGGCTGCCAGGTAATTGAAGGCACTGCTAGAGCATGTACTTTGGAATCTGATGGATGAGATCCATGCACTTGTGCATGCATGTTTACGTGTCTACATGTATCCATGTACCTTTACACATGTCTGCTTCCTTCTGTAGTCTCCTCTTTCTGTCACTCATTGGCCTACTGATTCCATGTAACCTTCGGTACAAGCTGACCTGCAGGTCTCTCTGCAGCTGGGGTCGTCTTAGCCCTCCTGCACCCCAGACCCTGCCATCCACCACAGTGGAAATGCCCCTTAGCTGGCGAATGAATGTATGCATGTAGCAATGAGCGCATAATGAAGGGAACCGGGACACTTTCTCTTTCCAGGGCCTTTTTAACTCCTTCTGTGAAAGGGAAGTGTTCAGCCCTGCTGTGCACCATTTTTCCAATCCTCAGCCTTCATGCAGACCTTGCTCCTGGGCCAGGGATG